TCTCTCTCTCTCTCTCTCTCTCTCTCTCTCTCTCTCTCTTGATAACATTGGTGCCCAGGGCCCAAGTGAGCAGGACCAGCACTGTGGGTGGTCGTGGACCAGTGGCCGGCACACTCCGGCCCCCACTGCACACGTTCTGGGGCTGACACCGGGTCTCTGAGGCAGAAAAAGACTGAATAAACCAAGAAGGTTCAAGCAAAGGGGGGAGGTGTGGAAAGTGCTAGGCAGGGTCAGGACACAGAAAGTAGACCAGGATGGAACAGGGGGGTGGAGCAGGAGGGGGAAGGGGAAGGCAGGTTGGCGCAGGTTGCAGCAGGAAGCCTCGAACGCCAGGTTAAGGAGTTAGAGCCTTTTCGTGTTGGTAGTAGGGAGATAGTGAAGGTATCTGAGTGAGGGGCAGCAGGATGAATCCACCTCTTCCTGGCCCAGCATAACTGTCTTCCTCCTCCCAGGGGGCCCTAGTGGGGTAGAACCAGATCAAAAAGCCCTCATGAGGCCCAACTATCTTGCCTTACCCACAGTCACAGCCCTTCTTCCTTCCTCCTCCCTCTGGGGCTCATCCATGAGGGCAGGGTCTGGGGTCTCTGGAAGATTCCTTCCTACATGCCCCAAGGGAGAGGGGAGGTTTGGAGGAAGGAGACTGGGAGACCAGGCTCTCCGCCTCCCCGCAAGGAAACTGTATGGATTTCTGTCATCTTGTCAGGCCTTCTGGGAGGCCGGTCCAGCTTTCAGGATGGCCCTGCCTGCTGGCCAAAGAACCACATGGAAATGTAAGCTACAGCCAGCAGACTGTGGGAAGCAGGAAGTTCTCAATGCTGCTTGTTGCTTTGGGAGGCCCACGCCTGCCCCTAGGACATTCGGCCCCCAAGCCCTTCCCATGACTGCTGTGTCTCCTTCTGAGGAAACCCAAAGCCCAGGGCTAATTGGGAACATTTTCAGCTGCACCACTGAGGGCTCAGAAGACACCTCGGCCCCACTCTGCAAGGCTGATCCCACCCTACCCTCATATATTTATGGTTGTGTTAATACACAGCCAACACAGCCTATGCAACACTCCGGCTTCGCTGACCTTTCGAGCCCCATTTCCCAGAATACACCTTTAAGAGTCAAAAATACCGTGTCTGGAACCAGAGTAGCACGCCCTACTGCACCTGTTCTCCCAGCCACTGAATCAACCCGTCTACACATCCTGCAGCCGCTATACAAGCAACCAGCGGAACCATAGTGGTAGTGTTACCCACATATGCCCACGCACGTGCACACATGGCAGAAAGAGACATCCGTTTGCCAGGAAGCAGCCCAGAACTGCTGACGAGGCATCTAAAAACCGGGATCCACTCTCAACCATCTGGCAGAAAGTGGGGCTCTAGGCTTTGCATGCATCCCCCGTGCTGGGTAGCGATAGGGCAAAGCCATCCTGAGGACACGGATTGGTGGCCTTTCCAAAAGAGCCCCTGGTTTCCATTTCTTCCTCTTTTACGTGGAGTATGTGTGGGACCGAGAGGAGGGGGCTCCATCCTTTGAGGCTGCAAAGCTCTGGGGCCACAAGAGTCGCTGGGACCCCACGTCGATGCCCAGTGGAGCGGCTTCTCCCACCTGGACAGCCAGTGCTGTAGTTCTCCAGACCACCCAGCAGCAGGTTGCAGTAGTGAGGACACTGGTGGGTCCCTGAGAGAGACAGTTGGTGGAGATTGCAAATCAAAGCCTGCCCCATGCGAGATGAAGCACGGCCAGGGCTCACCACCTCCCTCCTCCCTGCTCTCTCTCACACGTCTCGGGGACGTGGGTGAAGGGGCCCGGGGCACATGCACATTCCAGGTCAGCAGTGCCTTTTCGTAGCCCCACCTGGCTTCCTTGGCTTCCTCCAGCAGGGGGTGGGGCGCATGAGTTCTCCC